ATCACTCACACATCTGGAAAGAAAGGCATGGAGAAGGTTAGATCATAGACATTTTCCACAGCAAATTAGTGAACATTAACTGCAGGAAAAAATTATTTGTGAGGAGCACCGTCCAGGAAACCAATTTAAAAAGTGGAGTCAAGGGGGTATGTGTTCAGAGAACTGTGTGGGAAGCTGTGTGCATAGCTTTCACTGAAGTCAGTGTCCAGAGGGGCATCCTGGGGGATGGATGGGCCATGAGAAAATGTCTTTAAGCGTTGTCACCTTCATCTGGGTGAATAGGAAACCTATCACTTATTACCTTATGACTGTGTTCATAGCCTGGTTAAAAAATTGGGATAAGCAACTACAGGAAAAAATTTAACAAAAAACCAAACCAAACCAAACCACACCACACCAAACCAAACCAAACCAAACCAAACCAAACCAAACCAAACCAAACCAAACCAAAACTACCACCACCAAAATCAACCAACCAATCCAGTGAGGAGAAGGAGGGCAGGCTACACATCAGTGCTTTACATTTCTGCCCCAAGCTTTCCACACAGCTCATAAACCTTCAGAAAAGTGGGCAAATCTGACTCCATTTTGAATAATAACTAGGATATAGCAATGGAATGGCTTTGACAAGGAGTTCCAGGGCTCTCTGTATTAAAATCCGGGATAAATGCATGTGACTCTTTCCCTGCTTTGTTCTTGAATCTATTAGCAGAAATGAGTGGTGGTTTCAGCAGAGGACAAAATGTACTTTTTAGTGACTTTGTTCCTCATGTGACCCAACTCCTGATGCTGATGGTACCCGTTTTGTTTTGGGAGGTATGTTGTGGTGCTTAAAAGGTAGCTTGTGCTTCCTCTAATAGTATCTCTTTTGTAAAGAAATGAAGTCCCTCAGGCTCCACAAAACTATCACAGCACTTTTTCTCTGCAGTAAATTATGACCAAATAACAAAATGTTTCAAACTCTCAAAGGCTGTAACAAAATACAGCCAGCATTCCCCTACTTTCTGAATTACTGCAAGAAAGCCAAGTTCTCTGTGGTGGCTCAGCAGATCAAGGGCACTTACTCATAAGTGAACACGCATGATCCCTGCACTGTGGCTGCGTTGTGTTGGGATAGTGCTGTCCACAGGTTGGGGTGGGGAATGCTTCAAACCAAGCCAAGCAGTTCCTGTGCCTGAAATGCCTTCCTTGAGAGCATAGAGCCCTTCCAGAGGACAGGCATAAACTGCACTGGTTGTTTTTTGTGTGTCTCGAAGGTCTGTGTTTACAAAGGACCACGAAACAAACTCTGTGAGAGGAACTCTACTGTTGGATGAGCTCCCCGTGCCAAGCGCACGGAGCCTGGAAAGGTCTGTGATGGAGGTCCAGACAGGGGAGCTGCTGGGAAGAGCTGTCATCATTTGATGTCTCCTAACCACTTTTAAGTTCTGTAGTAAACACGGTGACTGCTGTAAAACCAGAGCGGCGCTGGGGTGCCAAACCTGTGTTCCCCTCGGAGGTCCCGGGCAGGAACAAAGTTTCTGACTGTGCTGGTTGGATCTGGGAGGCAGGACTGCTGCTCAGGACACTCCTGAGGGACACCACCATCTCCTGGTGTGACACTCTGGCCTCATTTCTTTGTAATTCTGCCTCGTGTTTGACCTCTCGAGCTGAAACCTCGTAAACTGCCTTTCAGAGGATTTCAGCCAAACTAGTCGTGCCATGTTTAAATGTGAACCAAGGAAAAACAATTGTATTGCCCATAGGAAAAATCTTTTGGAATTTCTCCTGAGAAACCCTATCACCTCTGTGGCTCACAGAGGAAAAAATGGAAGTTTTGGAGGGCATCCTCTGCATTGTGAATGCTCTTTTATCCCCTTGAGGAACATCTGGGCAAGTTGTAACGCTCTGAAAAATCACACTAAATGCAATCTGCTTTATCAGCAAAAGCCTTTGTTATGGTCCAGCTGCTGTGCATGAGTGGACTTCCTGTGCACATCTCACCCCCCTCCAGGAGTGCAGACCCTGCTATCTGAGCAGGCTGATGCTCAGAGACAATGAAGCCAAAGGATGATTTTCCCCACAGCTCCTGCTTAGCCAGGAGCTTGGGAAAAGGCACTGGGATAGGGTGGTGTAAAGCAAAGTGAAGAGGCAGCTATCCCACTCTGTTCTGGCTGCTCTTCCTACTGGGAGGTGGGCAGAGAGCAGGAGGGAAGCTGGTGGGGATGCTGAGGGGAGAGCACAACCCACCAGTGGAAAATCTGGGATGAAGGGCTTGGAGAAACCCAGGATTGATGGCTGTGAGGCGGGATGTGGAGAAAGGACTGCTGAGACAAGAGACTGGTGATGGAAGGTGCTGAAATTAGCTGGGAATGGGGAGAGTAAGAGAAACAGCTGAAAGGACATGGATACAAGAGTGCAGCCTTCCTAGGGACCATTCAGTAAAACATGAAATATTGAAGTTTGAGCATAATTTCTTTTCTACTCCAGCATTTGGTGTCATGGACATCAGAAAATACCAAGATAAATCTTGATTCTTAAGTTCTGAGCCCTGCAGGGGTCTTTGAGACTAGTTAAACCTTTAGGGTTGAACTGTCTGAGAAACTGAAATCTCTGGGAGATTTTACCCCCCGCCACAAGAAAGGCAAAGCTGCTCTAGTTCGTCTCAGAAATGGGAATCTTCAGGATTTATTTTCCTGAAAAGCTGAGAGCTCAAAAAAATCTTGCATTCAGCTTCGTGTAGTCTGCAGCACCAACTTTCAAACCAAAGTCTGTGAAGCACAGGATCCACAGACAAGTTTTGTAAGGCCTATGCAAAGGTCCTTCAGAAAAACAGGACTTTGCTTAAACTCTCTACTTCTGCAGATTTTGCCTACAGGAAACTAGGAAAAAAATACAAGCCCTTAATGGACAGTGGAAGGATACAAGGGAGACCAGAGACACTTCAAAATCAGTTTTCCTCTTATGAGGAGGCCAGATCTGTGGGGCCAAGGTTAAGCACTTGGGTTGTTGGTTTGGTTTATGCTCTTTTGGGCCCCTGTCTGCCAAGGCTCGTCCTTTCTGATGAAGATAAATTGCCTCTGCCCACCAGAGCCTTCAGTTTTAGTTCCAGCTGGGATATGTTGGTAATCCTGAGATACAAAATTGTCTTCTGAATATATTGCAGTTAACTTCAGTTGTATAAATCCAAGCATTAGCTGGATACTATAAATAGGCAGGATGTGCAAGGAGGCCAAGTCAAAAATGTGCAGAAACCCTGCCTTTTTTCCTTAGTGCTATGCTTCATCATGTATAATATTTTTCATCTGAAAAGGAAACAGCATGCACGTGCTTTGTGGCTGTTGTAATTAACTGGACATAATGAAGCGTTGAATTTCACACTTCAGAGAAAGAGATTGGGAAAGATGGGTATTTTTTTCTCAAGTTTTCCTGCTTTTAGTGTTTTCTTGGAGGTAGTTTTCTGCAAGATTGGGTAGGGAGCAGAAATACATCTGGTTTTTATTACATGATGGCTGTACTTTGGCAATGGAAAAAGATGGCACTTAAAAAAAAAATGAAAGAAGAATGAAAAAGAAAAGTTTGGCAACTACAGAACAGAGCAACAATTACAAGAACTATCTTAAAATTCCCAGGATTTGTGATTTATTTTTCCATGCTTGCATTTTTCTGATGTTGCTGGTGTTAAAAGATTGGGACAGAGGAAATTCAGTTGGACTTTGCAAAGTTCAGACATCTCTGTGAAGCAATCCCCTTTATTCAGGTTGCCCCCACAGCAGCTGCTGTGATTTGCATGTGAAAGGGATAAGAAGCAAGAAAAAAATGACAGACCATAATTTTTTTTTCTCGTGTTTTCTTCGTTCAGTGAACATGAAGTCTTGAAGGGGGTCTCTCCCTTAGCAGGTCTCATCTATGGAGACGAGGAAGAAGCAGGATTAATGCAGATGGTTTTGGAAACAGAGCCCTGTGAGGCATCTTCGTGGTGGGAGAGGGGAAAATTTATTGCAGCAATGCAAGAAGAGCACCTGGTGATGTGTCCCCCGGTGCAGTTTGCAGCTTCTCTTCCCTTTGTGTACTCACCCAGGAAAAAGCACAAAGAACACAAAGAACTGAGGCTCTGCCCGTGTTGTGGCCACTGGGGCAGAGGTGTGGGGAGCCCAGGACCCTGCCCAGAGCCTGGGGCTGAGCTGGGCTCAGCTGTGACCTGGAGCAGCCCCAGGAGCCGAGCAAGTGATGCCTCCCCCGGGGCTGCTCTCACAAGCCCCACTTCGGAGTGCAGGGATTCAGCCCTGGGGAGGTTGGGAATCTGCCCTGGGACATTTTCGGACCCCCAGGCTGTTCAGCAACAGAGCCAACTTGAAATAGAACACTGGAACAAAAACATGTTCCGAGTGATTTTTAAGTAAAAGCTAATGTGAAAATGTGGGAGTTTAGACCAATGTAAACACATTACATTTAAAACAATTTTCAAATATAGTAAATAAAAAAAATGTTTTCTGCTCTTGAAATTCCTAAAAAACACATTTTTCCTTCTGAGTCATGATTTAATTAGATTATATTTTATTAGACATTCTTTACAAATTTTAAAATACTGCTATTATACATGCACAGAGGAAAATCAGTTTGAACAATTGTGTGTAAGCATTCATTGAAATCAACCACAAAACAGGAACATTTTATGTCAGTTGTCAATGTATTCAATATGTATATCTAAAGTGCATTATGTTACAAAAAATATAGAAAGTCAGCAGCACCAAGATACGTTCACAAAATAAATACACCAGTCAACAAAATAAATTATGGTAAATGTGACAATAATTGTCTTAGCCTTAGCAAAAAAAAAAAAAAAAAAAAAAAAAANAAAAAAAAAAAAAAAAAAAAAAAAAAAAAAAAAAAAAAAAAAAAAAGGAAAATTCACAATAACCAAATGTGCAGTTTCAGAGAGCAATGGGGGGAAAAAGGTTTTATTCTGAGCATTTACAATATTTACAGGTAATAAATATTTTAATACTTCCCATATGTTCACTATTACAGAATACTGCAATATGTCTTCCAAATATCTCTTGCTGAAAATGTCAGCGCCTCCTGCAAAGAAAAGAAAGGACAGGAAAAAGCAGAAAAGTTAATTATTTTTCGCTTCAAATGTGTGGACATAGAATCAATAGCAAGAGTACCACAGACTATAACAGGTGTGCCATGCGAGTAACCATTTGCAATAACAGGGCCTGCTTGGCCATGCCACAGTTTTAGACATTTATTCAAGATCTCTGTTGTGTTTTTCTCAATGCAACCCCTCTAGAAGTGTGATGACCTGCAGTTTGTCACACACTGAGGCCATTCTACTCTCAGGGGAAGGGAAAGGGGCTTTGTTTTTATTTAGAACCTTATGCAAGAAGATTCCTGAGTGCTACAGGAAGAAGAATTGTGTCACCCTATGATAAAAATGTCAAGTGCTGGAAAAGAAAAACAATACAGTTGGAGTAAAGTGAAAACAGTTTTGAAGATATGGAAAAGGAAGTCCTTGTTAATGCTGTGTTAACTGCTGGGAGTGTGATACCATGTTCTGATTAAAACACTGCCATGGGGCTGGTTTGGTCTCTTTTTCCCACTGATAGACCACCCTTAGGCAAGGGGCTGTGGTGTGTGTGAGTAAAGCTGCTCTGGCCTTGGAGTGAGCAGACCCTTGATGGCATCTCTTCGAGTGCTTGGCTGAGTGAAAAGGCTCTAATCCTGAAACTTTCCCTCTGGGAGTCACAGAGCTTGAAAGAAAGCAACCATCCCATCCTGCTGTCCTCCAGCTCCTGCTGCATTCAGCCAGCTGAAGCAATCAGCTGCACCCAGTCCTGAGATCTGGGAGTTTTCTAAGGGATGCTGCAGTCTGGTGTGAGTTCTCCCCCCATGAGAACAAAGCAGAGTCTGCTCCCACCCTGTCAGGGTATTCCTTGTACTGCAACATGAAGTTGCTCAGAGGTGCTGCAGGAAATGCTGAAGGGTTGGGCTTTTGTGCCCTTCTGTCCCTGTGAACAGAACATTTTTTTTTTTTAGTGACTCCTTAGGGGTGGAATGTGGATCTATAGGATGGAGTGAGATTCTCTCTGCTGCAGGACTGATCACCAGAGCTGGGGGTAACATCCCATGTGGCAAAAGTGTGTGGGTGTGAGGCACAACAAAACTCAGATCCTGGAGAGTGTTAAAGGATTTTCTTAACATGCACGCTGAAAGGGAGGCTACATTTATCATTAGGGAGTTTACTCATTCAAAAGGTTTTTTAGGAAATTAAGTAAAAGCACCTTAATTGAATTGAAATAGGAATATAGCTGTAATGTCCACGAGAAATAACTTTTAAAGTGCCTGGAATGGAAATGCTAGCATGAAGCTCCTTAATAATTAGCTAGCAATAATATTAGGGTCCATTTCAGGACATATTCCAGCAGGTATAACAATGGCACATAATTCATACAGCATGGCTGTGTGTGTATGTGTGTCTGCACTACTCAGGCCTAATTCTAAGACGATGACATTTTCAATTTGGCCCGGATTCTAGGCTTGGTTTTAAAGTTTAAGCTAAGCCACATCTTGACAGTGGGCTCTGTACTAATGATAATTTGCAGGCTCTGATTTGGACCTAGGTTTTGCAAGATTGACTTCTTCCATGAGATATTCCTTGTAGTAAGTTAAAAGATCTAGAGATGATATTATTGTTGTTCATTTTTTTTCTGACCTAAACCCAAAATTTTGTTTTCAAGACTGATCAGAGAAATGGCATGAAGATTTTAATCCAGGGTGTTCAGCAGAAAAGAAGCACAGACATACAGTGAAAATCATTTTTGCCAGCCCACTGAAATAACTAAAAACTCATGTACTATAAGTTTTTTAGGGCTAAACCAACATGTTCTCTGCATTTGTGAAGGAGGAATTCTCTTTTCTTTTTTTGACGGATTCTCTTTGTTTAATCATCTCCAATAAATTCTCTAAAATACAGATTCTTTTTAGGAATCTGTGAGAAATGCTGCATTTGGATGTTGGACTCCACAGCAAAGCTGAGAGCCTTCAGCCATCCAGACACACTTCAAACAGAAAGGCTGAACTGGGAAAATCAACAGGGTTGTACCTGTAGCTCTTTTACATATCCCATTATATGTCCACCAAAGACAGCACAGCAAGAAAAAAAAGTAACTGTTGCAATTCCCTAGAATGTTTTTTCCCTACATTCTAGATGTCTTTGTGCTCAAGACAGGTGTTATTTACTGGCCAACACAGTCCCTCGACATCTGTTGAAAACTCAGGCACCTCCTGATCAGAGTCCTCAAGTTTCCCTTTCCTAAGGTGCTGAGACAAAGCAGTGTCTCTTACTTCCCTCTTACCTGCTACAGCCATGCCCACTGGTTTATGGTCTGGGGTACCCTGGTTTATGGTCTGGGGTACTCTGGTTTATGGTCTGGGGTACCCTGGTCTATGGTCTGGGGTACCCTGGTCTATGGTCTGAGTGCCCAGCCCCAGGTGTTGGTACCTCCTGTGGATGCCAGCACGAGCTGAGGTGATGGAGCACATTGCAAACTGTGACCAGTAAAGCTTAACCCCAGGCTGGATTTTATTAAATCCCACAGCTGGTGTCTCTTTCCAAGGGATTTACTGCAAGCAAGTGGCACTTCTCTTGTGTCTCTGTTCTGACAAGATGAAGGAGAGGAGGAGAGAAAATATGGGGTTTTGCTGGTGAAATGTAAACTTTCGAGGAGAGCTGAAGAGTAGAATCCTTGGCTTTGCCTGCAAGTGTGCAGATTTCCTCTCAAGCTGAGATGGCTGCAAGGAGATGAGTCCCTTGTGACATCTAGGCTGATGTCTCCAGGCCACTGCCCTAAAAACCCTTCACTGTCATGCATGAGGGAAGCAGGTCTCTCTCCAAGAGTGATGCTAAACATTTTTAAGCAGCAACGTAATTGTTTCACAAGCTGGCAAAAGGATGGAGCTGACTTAAAAAATCCTAATGGCAGGGAAAATTTTATGGTGAAAGGCTGGTCTGCATTGTTTGCAGATATTACTGAGAGAGAATTTTTCTGTGTTCTCCCCTAAGGTTAAACAATAAAATAAAAAACTGTAAAGCAAGGGTAGGAAAGTTGCCAAAAAGGGGAGGTGTTGAGAGGAAGGAAAGAAAACTTCGCCATTTTATAGATGCAAAGCCTTAAATAAAAGTCAAAGCTTTCAATCTGCTGAGGCCCAAGTGTGGGACCAAGATACGATGTGAGATACACTAAAGCGGGAAAGGAAATTTTAGTGGCTGTGATGTGCTTCCTTTTTGCAGAAATACCTTCACTTACTACTCAGCTTCAGGAAACAGATTTTGGCAATAAGTTGTTTACGTCTCAGAGTAAAGAAAGGTCCCCAGTGCAAAGTGGAAGGGGCACTTACCTGCAGAGAGCACCTTGCGACTGTGCTTGAAAAGCCAGTCTCAAAAAATTTGCTTTTACTCCCAGTTTGAGGCCTTGGCCTCTCCCACCAAGGGATAACAAGGGATAAATTTCAGCAAATACAAGGCACGCTCCCCAACAGAATATAGCAGAATTACCTTAAAGTGTGATTATGTGTAGTAACAGAGATGTCCAAGAGTGGGCTCTGGGTCACGACGTCTCCATACATGCCAGAATTCTGCCAAGCTGAGCGGGTTCGCCTCTTTTTCTTCTCTTGTTCCTTACGTTTTCCAGGCTTCGCTTTCTTTTTCTTCCCTGATGCCTTCAGGGGCTGCTCCTTGTAGGTCTGTGATTTGTTTGTCTCCTGAGTCAGGTATCTGCCCTCATCCTCACTGCCAAACCGTACAGGGTAGTTCTTGGTGTTGGTGGCAGGTTTCGGGTTGGGTGACACCTCTGACGTTGCACGGATCTCTGCAGTGTTGACACCTTCGATTAAATTTTGAAGGAATATTCTTCTTCGTAAGTCTTGGATTGACTTGCCCTTGTCATGCAATAGCTGGTGCTCTGATACAGCTCGTTTGCTAAGGGAAGAGAAGAGAGAAAAGGGAAAAAATGTTAAGGGTTTGGTTATTGCCCAGTGCTTGGCAGAGTTCCTCTCTTCTCTGGCTGTGGTGGCCACAGTGACCATGTACCAGGCTTGGACACATCCAGTGAAGGCAGACTTGCTGGAGCAAGCCCTGCTTTGTCTCAGAGTAGCTGCTCTCAGCAGAGAAGGGAAAGACCTAAGTGTGTAATAATTCTCAGCTGACCGATCACACACCACTGGGCCTGGAGCTGGATTAGTCACTGCTCTGTTCTAGGAAAGCATCATGACTTCAATATATCACACTTGAGGCAGTGAAAGCAGGAAGGCAGTTGTCAGAGATAGGAAAACTAAAGGGTCAGATAATGCAGCAGGAGAGGGAAAACCCAGCACTTGGGGCCGGAAGCAGTGTTTGTACAGCACCATTCTAGTGATTTCCTTCTGCTCAGTCATGTACTTCAAAAACATAAACAAGCACACAAAAGTGCATTTTACTCCTACGTACAAGTGCAATTGCAGGAGCGTAAAGGAAATTTTTTTTTAAATTTGGGTGGCTAAAACACAGGCAATTCCTTCCATAATGAGCTATCCAAGGAGGCAGTCTGAGCATCAGCAGAGATGAGCCTCAGCCACTCCTTTGGATTTACTGCTTGGTCACTTGTGTCTAATTATGGTTTTAGATGCCTTCCTAGTATTGCTTTAAGTGTAAACTTTTGGGGCCAAATTTCTTGTCTGCTGCTGTTTGAATTTTATGCTAACCCTCTTCTCTGGACCTTCTTCAAGAGCACCCTGGTTTGTTGGAGTGGTTTTTCTAGAGTTCATCCTGACTTTTTGGTACACTGAGCTCTGTCTTGTTTTCAAGGAACTGGGAGGTGAGCAGCTAACTGTATTCTAGAGATGTTGTGCTGGCAAGGAATGTATTAAACATCTGACGAAAGAAGATACAAATGGCACCTGGATAATAAATAACCAGAGAAAATGTGAAAAAATACATGCCTTTTTCTTGAAGTGGAATAGATGCACAGCTGCACTGTGAACCACAGACAGAGCACAGGCTGGGATTTTAGCTATGTTCCCATGAATGCAATAATAGAGTTTATCCTTCCAATGCTCTACTCCAGCATGCAGAGTCTGGCTATGGGATCTCTCCTCTTGCCTCAGGGTGTGGCATATGACTGGATTCTCACTGGCCAAAGAAATTCCATTCACTGCCTTCCCTGCCTTATAATCATTTGGTCAATTAGCTGGGTAAGAAGTGGTTTCTGCACGAGGGTGAACTGGAAGAAGGCATATCACTGTGAGTGAATATTCCTTCCTTCCATCCCATCCCATCCCATCCCATCCCATCCCATCCCATCCCATCCCATCCCATCCCATCCCATCCCATCCCATCCCATCCCATCCTTCTTTTTCCTGGTACATTGCCAGATGTGAAAATGCAAAATATTTGGGATTGTTCTGCAGGTTCTCTTTTCTAGTCCCCACAGCCAAACTCTTTAGGTTTATGACTTGATCAACAGTGCAGCTATTGGAAGTTGGCAATTTCAAGTAGCTCTGGTTTAAGAGCATCCTCTTCAATTTCTTCCTTGAAGGGCTGCACTTTTTGAGCACTGGGTTCAAGTGATGGATTTAAGTGATAATATATCTCTATTTCTCAATGTGAAATTCAAACAGCAGCTTTCCCCCATTCCACAATGAGACTGGAAGGTGACTGTCAAAATCTTGCTCAAAATCAGCTCTGCATATACTGAGGTTTGTGAGTACACATGTAATCAAATACTGTCTGTGTTTTAAGTGTCCCAAAATCAGTTTTGGATGACTTCAGCCTTTAGGGTAAGAATTTTATGCTTCTCTACTAAATGTCCCTAAGCAAAAATGCAATGTGATGATGCTAAGCTGATCCCATATCATGTCTTTCTCTTCAGTGCAGCTGTGACCATTAACACAAGCTCTTGATCTCCCTCAGAAGAATTTTTTTAAACGAGAGCCATCTCCAACACCCTTCTCATTAGGGCCAGTATGATTGGCAAATAGGCCAATAAAACCAGCACCCTGGGCTCCTCTGGGCTGCCTGTCAGGCTATCCAGTGTGACTCAGGTTACATTCCAAGCTCCAGTAGTATATTTTCTCGGGAAATTTGCATGGAAAATGCTTTCACTCTTCTAGTTCATAGAAAGTGTATGAAATCTCCATGCTTTAGGGAGACTAAACCAGTGTCTCATGTGATGAGCAAAGCTTTCCTACTGCCTCGTGTGAACTACCAAGGATAATTCCTTCTATCACAGACAAGCCAAAGCTGCCTTAATCCTCTAATGTGTATTTGGTCAGCTTCCCCACTGTGACAAAATCTTGACTCTCGAAAGCCTGTTATTAAAGTCCTCTTGATTGAAAACCTATTCCATTTTACAGAACTGAAATCTAAACATTTGGTTCCAGTACACACAAGGCAGTCATAGAGCATTACAAGATCTACATCTTGAGTGAGTATGCATTTCCAAAATAATGCAGGGATTGACGTGTGAGGGGTTGATGTGCCAAAGAGGGTGGGTTTCTCTTTAAATGTCTGTATGATATTTAGCATCAGTCTGGCCCCAAATAACATTCTGCTATTCCAGATGATTGTATAACATTATGTAGTGTTACATTTCACATGACTTTTATTACTCAACCAGACTTAAGGATTACATTTTGCCTACCAGCTTCCTTTGTATGCTCTAGATCAAAAAATCTCCTTGAAACAAAGATGTGGTAGATACATATCTCTTTGACCTTCTGCCTCCTTCTGCTTCAGTTTTTCAAACAACTCCTATGTTTGTAAATCACGGGGAAAGGCTTGCCCCAGAAGACTGATGTAAGAAGTGCTTCATAATGGAGATATCAACAATATCTCACCCACACACTCAGAGTAGAAAGGCAGTGGAGACTGGAATGATTGCATTCACATATTGGCCACAATATGGAAAAAAATATTCGGCTGTTAGGGTTAAGATGACCCACTAGAGGTCCCTTCCATCCTTCTATAAAACACACCTCTTATCCAAGGAAAAGGATCCTGTACCCAAACCAAGAGCAGTAAATGCTAAGCTTACATGTGGCAGGCACTTTTGAGAGAGGGATGTTGATGGTTTGTACTTGACCAGAGCATCCAAATTACTGATCCAAGTACACTGTGTACATATGAGACTGAGTGTCTCATCATGGGGAGAGTAGCAGAAACGCATGACTATCCTGACTTCACATACTTCCAGATAAGCTGCTCTTTTCAGGCACATTCCTCCTTTTTTTTTTTTCCTTGAGATATCTAGCATTTCTAAAAGGCAGCATTCTTCAAGCTACCACTTTCTATCTCAGAGAGCTGCTCTTATTTAACTGCTATTATCCTTGACTGTTCATGTTGGGTCTGATCCTAAATTCAGGAAAATAACTGAGGAGGATTCAGTCAGCTCTCTGGATTTTGCAAGGCTGAGTGCCCTTGCCACTGACTCCAAAGGGAGGGAAATCTGCTCAACCTATCTCAGGCTTAGGAAAAATATTTTGAACAGATCTAGGGACATGATGCTGCAACGTCTGGACATGATGATAAAAATATGTAATTTCATTTTGAGGCATTACTGGGATTCTCAGAAGTTCTTTAGCAGCTAAAGCACTCCTATAACAAATAACATGTCTGGAAATCTTTTCTTGGGACAATTTGCTATGCTTTCCATGGGAGATTTGCTTCAGCAAAGTCTGTAGAACCAGGCCTATGTAATTTTGATTATTTTTGCATGTCTATAATAATGTGCTTCAGTATTTTCATCCATTACTGGGTTTAGCTTTTGACTGAGAAAAAAAAATCTTGAAGCCTAAGTGAGTTATTAACCATTAACTCTAGGAATAGTTTGTGGTGATATTAAAACAGGACACATGTTTGAGTGTGGTGTCTGTGTTTGTGCTGTGCCCACAAACAAAACTACGTGAATGCCACTAACTGACAGCTGACTGGTTTCTTGTGTGTTTTTTACATGCCAGAGCAAAGAGGGAGCTGAAAAATGCGTTTTCACTGGTTAGCTTACACTTTTCTTCCCCCCTGTCAGGACAGAATGGGGATGTTGGGAAGACCTCTAATCCTGATCTTTAAAAACAAGTGTTAGAACTATGCTAACTTCAAAAAGAGAAAGAGTATTTGTCTGCAAATCTAATTTTTTTAAACAACCAAATTTGGCTTAGATCCAGTTCAGAGTTTCCTAGCCAAGAAAATAACAGCATCTAACTGCACTTCAATTATTTTCTTTTTTTACTTATTCTTGAAACTGAACTTTGATTCCTCTCTATAATATGGTCCCCAAAGAAAGAAACAGCCCAAGATCAGCTTTCAGGAGTACAAAACAGTTAAACGTTAATGGACCGAGAATAATACACTGTAACATTATCAGCAATAACATGTTCTACACAATTTGCTGTAGGAGATTTGTAATAGCTCTCTGCCTGGTGCCAAACTTTAGGTGTGTCTGAAGTCAGTTCACCTGGGGTATATATTTTTTTTTCTTTTGGGTGTTTGGGGTTATTATTATTATTATTATTATTATTATTATTATTATTATTATTATTATTATTATTATTATTATTATTATGTGTGTTGCTTAAATGCTATTTGGAGATCTTGTCCTTAGGTATGTAATAAAACATTTAAAAGGAAACCCATCTGAAATTGTTTGCTGTGTCATGTTTCCCTGTAAGTTGTGATCGGATTTTCCAGCACTCTTTCTCCAATTTGGCTTCCTTTGGAAATGAATAACAATACAGCCCTCCCCTATGTGACTGAGGTGTTTCTTCCTTAGAAAATCTGATGTAAGTCCAGAGAAAGCCAGAGAGTTAGATGTGTGAGACAGCTGCTCCTGCATCAGGGCAGAGGCTTCTCCTGCACTTTGTGTATGGCTATTAGTATAAACCAGGCTGATTATTTTGGAAGAAGCAAAAAGGTCATTTCCTGAACAGACTGTCTTAAGTTACACTATCATTTATCAAAAAATATGCCTCTGCCTCTAAGTAAGATACTGGACTCCCTTTGGATTTTTTTTTTCTCTGAAGTGGCAGAAATCCAAAGAAATTGTTCACTACTTCAGTGCCATGATGGCCCTCGGTTCTGCTTGTTTCCCCTACCCTTATCGATATTGGCTCCACGCCCAAGCCGAGGAAGTGTGTGTTAGTAACACTCAGCATTTGGATAAACCGGGATGCTCCCCACGAGGGTCCCGGGCAACTTCACAACAATCACCCGGCTGCGTCGGAAGAGAAGCCCCAAAGCTTTGTAAGGTCAGAGAGCTGCAAAGCACCCTTTCCCTGCCCCAAATGCCTCTGCCCGGCTCTCAGGCAGCGCCGGTGAGCACCTGGGGCAGGTAACCCGGAGCGGCCCCGTGCAGAGCCGGCAGCGCTCCCTCCCTCCCTCCCCGCCGCCGCAGCGAGGGAGAATAAAGGGAAAGGAAAAAAAAGAAGAAAAACTCACAGTCTGCGGCTGATCCCCTCTACTGATCTCCCGTAGGAGGGCACGGAGTAACTCAGCAGGAACACTGCGAAACTCCACTGCTGGAAGAGTTTAGCGAACATTGTATCCTCCGGGGCTCAAAACCTGCAAGGAAAGGGAGGTCAGTCCCGAGGGGCAGATGTGCTAGCTCCGTCCTCAAGGAGTCCCTGCTTCGGCTCTACCAGCTCCGAGGCTCTGAAGGAAAAACAAACTTTCTGAGCTCTCGGCTCACTCCTTCCAAACTTCGCTCTGTCTCTCTCCCTTCCTTGCTGTCTGCCTCTCCCTCCCTCTTTCCCTCCCTCCCTCCCTCTCTCTGTCTCTCTCTGCCCGCATGCAAGATCTCTCTCAGTATTAGTTCAAAAAGCATCTAGCTCTCATTTGAACAGGGTTAGAAGGGGGTCCCGTGAGTTCCCTGAGCCCTGTTTAGTTCTAGTTCGCTAAGCCGCTCTCTCAGGGCTTTATGTCACAGCAGAAGCCCTCTTTGCAGATAAGATTCCCAAAAGTCAGCTCAGCTGCTCACTTCTCTGTAAACACACGCGCGGACACACAGACACACACACACAGGCTGAGGCGGAGGCGCGGTGCATCTCCACATTTGTCTCTCCGTATACCTCTGCAAAAAAAAAGGGTCAGGTTCTCGTCTCCAGCTGCCGGAAAGTTTTGGTCCCCAACAGTGACAAGGAGAGAGACAAGCGGTGCCAAGGAGAGACAAGCAAAGGTCGCTGCCTATGTGGAGAGCCCGAGAGGTCTGGGAGGAGCGGTAGCCCCGGGAGGCTCAGGGGCTGGGAAGCATGCTTGGCTCGGCAGGTTGGACTGGGCTGCAGCCTGCGATGTTCACACGCTCCGGAGCAGCCTCTGGGAGACCTGCGGGAGGACGGAGGCTTTTGCAAAGAGATGGCGCCCTAGGAACATGTGCAGAGAGAGAGAGAGAGAGCCCGGGCGGGATACGGGATACCCCCAGCCAAAACGGAGACTGGGAATCAGCGCTTCCCGGGCCCGCAATCAAAAAGGAGCGAAGAAAGGGAAACACCCGGCAGCACAGGCACTCCGCGGACCCCAAGGACTGCCGCCAAGCTCTCTGCATCTTCTGCAGCCTCACTCCTCTCCCGCTCACCTTCCAGCTCTCCCTTTTTGTGTTTATTCCCGGGCCAGCGCCTCCCGTGCCGCGGGGATTCCTCCCATCGGTGGGAGCACTTTTTAACTCCAGCCCCAAAGCGCTGCCCGGGACTTCTGCCGCCTTTCCTTGCACGCACCTACCGTGGTTGGTCGCCGTTCCCCTATTAGCCGGAGGGTCGGCTCCTAATGATGCTAATTGTACGCTAGTGAAGGGAGGGGGGGAGCCAAGGGGGAGGGCTGGGGGAAGGACTCGCGGTCTATGAACACAGGCGCTCCTGGCCAAAAAAGTAAACTAGTGGAAAGTTTTCTCCTCCTCTCCCTTTTGCGCCTTCCACTTCGCCCTCCTTCAGCCTGGCCAGGGCGCTGCAAACCGCTGCGTCAGGTTGCGCTCCCGTGCGAGGCGGGCAGCGCGGCGGGGCTGCGGGGACAGCGGTGGCCGGAGCGGCTGGAGGCGGCCGGTCAGTTCAGGCCAGCCCTGGTCAGCCCCGGTCAGCCCCGAGCCCCGCACCCCCCGACAAAGGCACCAAAGTTTTCCATGCCGGGACGGCACTCGTGCTGGCGCAGCCCGCCCGTCCCCGCAGCCTGTCGGCGGAAGGCGCTGTCCCCGCTGCTGGCAGGGGACACCGGGGACAATTCTCCCGGAGGGAATGCCCTGCACGCCGATCTGCTCAGGCTGGGCGGCGCGGCACACCTGGGGATGCCGGCTGCTCCCGGCAGCATCCCCGGAGCCCTCGCCCGGCTCGGCCGAGCCCCCTGGGGCCGCGGCGGGGACAGGGGGCCTCGGTTGTGCCGCTGACAGCCTGATTTACAGGGAATGCTTTCCCAACGCCCTCACAAGCCGCAACAAAACACTGAGGCGTGCCGGCTGAGCGCGCCTTCTCATCCTGCCCCGAATTCAAGCAGGCTCTCTGGAGAAGGTTTAGGTGCAAAGCTAAGCGTTTTTTCTACCTGCAGGTTATTTTAAGTTAAAAGACGCTTGCTGCCGCAGTTTAAAAGCCCAGATTCCACATCACACAGGCAAATAAAACCGACAGCATAAGAGCTGAAATAGAAATCATGCTGAAAACATTAAATCGTTTATGCTGTAAATTAATTCCCTGAACACCTGGTAGGCTGTAAATTAAAATATATATGTAATAGGCGTCTTTGATTTACACTGCCCTTTCGACTAATTAAAAATAATTGTGAGATCCCCTGAAAATAACCCCCACACACTCATAGGTGTATTACTCATGTTAAAAGTAATACGTCCATCAAATAGTTTGAGAATTTCCTCTCCCCTAGAAATTAAATTTTTTTTAAAAATACGCCAAAAACCAACACACACCATCCCTTACAGACTCGGGAAAAATAAATAGCCTCTATAAACTCAGAATCCTGAAGTTTCTTCACAATTTATCACTTCACCTTTTCCTTGAGTTACAGCTGTCTGTGCCTCTCAGAGATCACCCTGGCCAACAGTGGTTGCTCTTCTCAGCAATCGCTTCCAAAACTATGTTCTATGCTCAAGAAGAAGAAAAAAAAAAAAAAAGAAAAAGAAAAAGAAGTTAAATGACTAATTAAAAAAAAAAAAAAAAAAAAAGCAAGCAATACTTTTCAAAAATCCAGCCTACAGAGCTTTGATTCTGCCTGTAAGAGATTAGGGCTAAATAAAGGGTCTTAAAAGCAGGTGCTTTTCTCCCTTGCTGCTCTTTTTATTATGAAGAACAGAAGCTTCCCCTAATATATATAGTGAGGGAGACCCTTCTCCATTGCTTTTATTGAAAAGATCAAACTTGTGACATCACTAACCACCTTCCTATGGCTGAGTTTGCCTCTTCTCTGCCTTAGTGGGCTTGGGAAAAAAAAAAAAAAAAAAAAAAAGGGGAAAAAAAAAAAAAAAAAAAAAAAAAGGGAAAAAAAAAAAAAAAAAAAAACGCAACCCAACTATGGTTGGGCTAATACGGCAGGAACTGAGCAATGCCAAAGGCTTTTAGGAGACTCACTATCACCCCATGCCCCCCCTCCCCCCTAGGGCTGTCATCTGCAACCACGGGCTCAGCGCTTTGTCACCTGCCAGGTACACAAATGAGGGAAGTCACGTACGCGTGAGCAAACTCCTGGTCCCAAGCCTCACCGTAAGCCTGAGCCCACCTCTGTGGCAGGATGGGGAGAAAAGACCCCTCATTTGGGGTTTAAACCTTCCCTTCCCCGCAGGATGCCGCGGGAGATGCTCTCCCTGGAGGGACCCGCCTCCACCTGCAGCATCTCCCCCCTCCGGCCCGGCCGGCTCCCGGTGTCCCCTGGCCTCGGAGGGGTGAGAAGGGATGAGGCTGGACTAGAGGAGCTTTAGGCGCGATTCCAACTCCCACACCTGCGCCGAGCATCGCTCCGCTCACGGAGCGCCCACGGGCACGGCCGGCGCGGTGTCTGGGAGAGGGGAAAACCCCGCACCTTTGTGGGGCTTCCACCTGCCGGGGCCTCGGTGGCCGCAGGGCTCCCGGCCCAGGCGAGCGGCTTGCGGCTGTGGTTGTTCCTCCAGCCGGGATGCGCGGAGGGATCTGCTCGTTTTGTGGGACCTGGGAAAGGCTTCAGCCGCGGAGAGGTGAGACAAAACCCCGTGTTTGCCCCTCTGGCCAAGCCCTCTCTGCCGCCACAAGGCAAACCTTATCATTTTAGGGTTTCTGACTCCACTTTCTCCCGTCTTCCCGCCTCAAAGACAATGAGATTTTGGAGGGATGCCGCCCTTGGCTTCTGCCTCCTTTTTCCATACGTATAAACAGGCATAAATCAGCTTTCTTACGAGGAAGTTGACCTGGGAGCTTGGCTAGAAAGATAAGTCCCTGTTCCAGGTTTGGCACGTAATTCCCGAGCGGGGAATAGGGCCAGGGGCTGCGGGCTGGTGTGTGACCGGGCTCCCCCCAGAAGCCGCTCAGCACAGAAACAAAAGCCAGCAAGTGGGACAGGTTCAGGTCTTTGGGGAGGAGGTGCCCTTGCAGCCTCAGGGAGGCAGAGGGAAATTGTGACTAAACCCCCGCCCGGCGCTCGGAGACGGGATAAATCCTCGGCTCCGCAAACCTCCCATCCTTCACCTTCTGTGGAGTTCCGCCTCTCCCTCCTCCCTCTTGTTTTATTCACAATAAAGCATTTTCGTCATTTCCCCTCCCGGATTTCTATAACCTCAGTTGCACTCGTCCAGGGCTTCGGTTCAGACGGGGAGTTTAACCTCCCCAGTCTTCCCAGGGTGGAAAAAATGGTGTTCAGCAGAAAAACACAGGCGTGCTGACTGCTGGAGAGTCTGGCGGGGAAGGGAAGGGAGCGGCACCACAGTCAGTGATTGCTGGACTCGTCCTGCGAGGACCAGAAATCCCCTGACTTGCTCAGCCTCTCTAATCCAGCGAGGTTAAAAGCCAGCGAGCACAGCTCTCTGCAGGCGAGGTGCGAAGCCCCAGAATGTTTTTCCACGGCTCCCAGGGTGGGCTTGAGGACAAGACTGCGGTGCAATTGGTAGCAGACACCACTGCTCGCAGATTGAGGCAGACTTTCTAGCACACACTCATTCCTGCCCACGACCTAGCCCCGGTGTGCTCTGCAGTGCCCAGCTCTCATGAAGGATGCTTTCCTCTCCTCTGACTCCCCATCGGGTGGCCATCGGGGATGAGAAACTCCTTCCACGTCTGACATGGTGTCATCTTCGCATCGAGTGAAAGGATTGCTCGGGGAGAAAGAGAAACCCTCTTTTCCCCTCCCCATCAGCAAACCCCAGAGGTCCCGTGGCTCTCCATGCGAGCACACAAATATCCTTTATTAAACGGTGATAGAGCCGCTGAGCAGAGCCGCCTGTCGCTCCCGAGGGGCTGCCGGAGTTCCCCCAGCTCAGCTATTGACACAACGCGCCGTTTATTTAGACAATATGCGTTTAATTTAATGCACTCGAGAAAGGGCGGGCGGGGCGGGGGTGAAGCAAAAATACAAAAAGCTGCGTGGAACTGAGGAGAGCTTTGCCAAATCTTCTGTCTGGTTCGTAGAATCCAGGAGACAGCGAAAGGCTTAATTTTCAGATTTGAGGGCGAGGAGGCGGCGATGAATGCCCGGGGCCGCCGCTGCCCCGCAGCGCCCGGCGGTGCCGGCGGAGCGTGGCCGGGCTCCAGCCCCGGGGCGCTGTCCATGGTGGTGCGGCCGCGGCCTTCGGCTCCTGCATCGCCTCTGTGCCTCGCTCTGGTCTTGACTTCAGCTTGAAATATATCTTAATATAGATTAACTCTTTTTTTAAAGTCCCTTCTCCCCCAGACCCCCCCTCCCCCTTTTTTTTTTTACAGAATATCTATCAAATACCAACAGGAAGAAACGTGTCTGGTCTGTTTAACTCACACAAAGCTAATACCAAGCTGGGCTGGCTGGAGAACAAGAATTCAATTTAAAGAAAGGGAGGGGGGAAGATTTGCAATTTGTTTTTGTGCTATGTTGGAACAAAATCCATCCCTTTAGACACTTTTCTGAGACGAGACAGACTCACCTCCTGCCTTGGAATAGCTTAGTAGCTTAATGTACTCATACGGGATGTGGGACACCAGAGGTCAAGTCCTTCCCTTCTCTGATTCACAGTCCTAATCCCTGGACTCCCAGTTTCTCTCAGTTCCCTCCCACCCCAGACCTAAAACTCTTTCTGATTACACTTGTGATGAATTGATGTTTTCCAATGGGTGAAAACCAAATGCTTAGTAAAGGAAAAAATCCCACCTAAGAGTTATTCTGAGCAGTTATTCTGGGATTTTTCAGTTAAACAAGAAGTTTAGCCAGCCATCATACAACAGTGGAAGGCAATTGAAAGCTGAGAATAGAAAGAGTGAGCTATGAAAAAGGAACAAGTCTCCTTCTCTGGTGGCACACAGGGCTGGCGTGGTTAAGACATACCTTCTGTATCTTTACCTTTTTATTTGCAGATTATTTGGACAAAAAAAGGAGGACTCTGTCCTACCCCATAGACACACAGGGCTAGTAGAGTTGGGGAGTGCTTTCCTTGGATATGGTTTTGCTCAATCATTTCTATTCCTTTAGTTTATGGAACACAAGAGAAAGTTGTAGTTTGGATCATCCAGTCTCGTTTGACGTCCCAGATAAGAAGACAGGCTGTCTTTCCACACTGACAGAAAGAACAGGTTTGTGTGAAGCCTGAAGTCGTGCTAGCGATTCTGGGCAGCAAGGTACTGTAACAAGCTCTGCCTTGAGTATTGCCTTTATTAGACAACATTCCTGAAGTACATATCCTTGTTTTATGCATTTTGGTTTTGTTAATATAATCATTTTTGGTAATCTCCAGTCTGCCTTCCAGGAATATTTCTGGTTCTTGCTATTTGTTTTAAAAAGTAGGGATGACTGCAACTGTTACACGCATCCTCTGCTTTAACTCAGATGTGTTTTCTCCCTTCCTTTGCTCTTATGCAAGTAAAATGATCCTGTATTCTTTTCTTTCACACCACATAAATTATCTGCTTTCATATCCCTAACTCCCACTGAACAAACTGCATCTTTAAATTCTTCCCAGAAGTCATGGGATCTGGTCCAGCTCTCACTGAAGCCAGACTGCTTCTCTTTGTTCACTTCATTTGGATGGTGGTCAGCATCTTGTATGACCATCCCTTCTCTAAATATGGACTGTTCTTTAATCTCAGTGTGGTTTCTTTTCCAGACATGATGTCCCATAGGTCGTGAACTCTAGGCTGCAATAAGCAAAGTGGAATGACCACCTCACTTGCTTTAATCAGTGCATAGTGAAATGTAGCCTGGAGAGTTGCCCGTGACACAATGCATAATAAGCTTGCACAGCAGGAGCAAGCATATTTTTTAGGAGTTTCAATTACCCCTTGCAGGTTAGGGTTCTAAATTTACTAGATTATCAAATTTGAAATTCAATTAAGCTGAAGAAATAAATAAGGATAAACTATAAAAGTTATTTGCTATTATCTGTTTATCCCAAGATAAGGAACATGTTTCTTATAACAACTTGCCTTACACTGAGATTAATTTAATTGCTCCTTCACCTCCAGATTTAATCTCTCTCAAAACCAGAAATATTACTCTGTGTGTTTGGTCTGACCTAGAAATGGTGCTCTCTAGAAGCTGTTTTCTGTTTGTTAGGAATTTAGACTATATTTGCCAGATGCTTGAGGAAATTTCAGTGTCTGTGGGAGTCAGAGGTGTAAAGGTGCCCAAAAGAGTTCTGGCTCTGGGAAGGACTGGACGTTTATAGGCAGACTTCCTGGGTTCTACTCTCTTATTGATTTTCCAAGCCCTTGAGACACCTTGAGTCTAACCTGGGTTGTGGAGCTGGCAGGTGAGGGAGTGACAGCTGGGAGTTTTTCCCGAATGACTCAGGGCTGGCCCCACACAACGCGTGTGGAAACAAAGCGAGCTATACTTAGTGCAGCCTGAGGACAGCTCCAGCAGGGAGCTGGAGGTGCCTGTGCTGCCAGGAACTGAGATCCAAGCTGGTAAAACACACCTTGACATAAGCAGGC